TTGTAGTGTATTTCATACTCTTTGCAGCTGTGTATTCAGATTTTGCAAAATTGGAGGAGGAAGGGGTTTCAAAAATTTTTCAATTCTTCAAAATCTGAGTGCACAGTTGCAAAAAGTATGAAATACAATTTGCATACAGTCGCATACAAACCATTTTTGTACATGCCTCGTATTTTGAAAGATACACGCTAAAAATGAAAATGATTTTTTGTTTTCGAAGGATGGTGTTTCACCCCTTCAGACTGGAATTCCGCGCGGAATAAAACATAATTTTGCATTACGGATGAATTACTTTACTTCCACGCAAAGTCTCATAAGTTTTTGAATTTCCGAGTCCCCTGTGTTTCCTTGTAGCGAGAAGAATCGAGAAGCGACTCCGCTTCATCAATTCGCTCCTGCTGACTTACCGGAAAAAACACACGATCTGACGTAGCAAGACTTGCCTCACGGCGAGTTTACTCTGTTTCCCCGTTCTCGAGGCGGCTTCCGCCTTTTAAACAGTAATACGGTAAACCGCCGCCGCCGCCGCCGCCGATAACTAGCGGTCTCCGCTAGTGCCGACGATAACGGCATTGTTTACTAACAAATACTATTCAGGACGGCGCAATTTGATTTACAAACCGGTAGCAGCAACTTTTCGAGGGCGCGCAGTAATAATAATTATTATTCATGCGTCCGCGGCGAGACGGCCGACGGTATCGGCCACACTCGCGATGTGCATCATCGCGTCGCGATCTCGCGCGACGGCACGTGAACGGAATCCCGTTCACGTGCCGAGAAAACGAAGGAGAAAAGGAGAAAATTTTCTCATGGGAGAAAAAGGGAGAAAATTTCTCAAAGTTGATCGGCGACTCTCTCGCGCGAGCGAGTCTCTCCGTCGAATTCGTGAAGCGGGGTCCTCCTTGTCCGGAGTTCCCCGCGATTCCCGAACGCCCCGTATCGTAATAATAGACGTACGCGGGTATAAATATAACCGGTGGCGTTCTTTCGCATTTACAATTACGGTCGGACGTGGCAAAAGTAGCGCTTGGCGACCACGGGGGTGGAGTATTGCTTCAGCGGCGAAATGGCTCAAGGTTCGAATCGACGGAGATCCGCTTCCGGATCTCCCGTGGTATTATCTCGGTCGCGACACACACAGAGAGAGAGAGAGAGAGAGAGAGAGAGAGAGAGAGAGAGAGAGAGAGAGAGAGAGAGAGAGAGAGAGAGAGAGAGGGAGAGGGAGAGAGAGAGAGAGAGAGAGAGAGAGAGAGAGAGAGAGAGAGAGAGAGAGAGAGAGAGAGAGAGAGAGAGAGAGAGAGAGAGAGAGAGAGAGAGAGAGAGAGTGTGTGTGTGTGTGTGTGAGGGGGGAAGGAAGATTCGTCGCGAGAGATCCTCGGGATTGAATCGAGTCGCGTGCAGCCGAAAATAATGCCGCTTTCGCCCTCGTGCACTCGGATATAAACTCGCGGACCGACTGCCAGGCCACGGCGCGAAAATAGTCGCGGCATTTAGGGTGGCAACCCGCGGCTTTTAGAACGACGCACGCGTGTCGCTTCGTGACGCATGAGGCGCCTCTTCCCCGCGTTCGATCTCCGTCGCAACCCAATTCGGCGGCTCGATGGAAATCCGGCCTTTCCCAGAGTGCGAGTCGAGCGAAATGTCGCTCGGGGATCTCGAGGAAATCGGCTGTTTTTCTTTTTTTTTCTTTCGTTCAACTATGGCGATCACGGACCGAGGAGTGAGCGCGTGGTTCAAGTATATTTTCCTCACGCTTTGTCGCTTGTTTGAGCGCCAGAACGTACTTTGCGACGCGACGTCGCGGGGACGCGGCATTGTCGTTTTCTGCGTTCAAGCGAGCCTGACAATAACAAGGCGCCTGACTGGCGAAAAGGAGAAAAATACGGCACGCGGAAGCGCGCCCAGCTGCGATTACGCAACGACCGCCATTGATATGTATTATTATACAAACGACTTTGTCTCTCTAGCGCAGCGGCATTTATTTTGCATTTTGTCGCTCGGCGAGCTCTGAAATATCGACGAGTTATTAACGAGTTCGCACCTGTTGCGCCGTGTGCGAAAACAATTTTATTTGTTAGATCAGGAAGATCGACGGCAGCTGGCGAGTACCACCTGGAAGACGTCAGTCGCGCGCGGGGAGTCGCGCGGCGATCGGTTGCACTAAATTAATATTAATTAGCGCGCTGCGGCAGAGTCGATTTAGACCCGACGGATAATCGAATTATGCGTTATCCAAACATTACGCGACTCTGGCACGGCCAGCCGCGAAGGGGGGGGCGAGAGAGAGCAGCGAGTCGTGTAACGTTCGCCGTTGCACGCATATGAATTAGTACACGAAATATTAATTAGTACGCGCGACCAAGTCTTGGGAATTCTATTTTGACTGGGTGATTTAGGGAATTGCGTGTGTCGTCGAAGCGACATCACTTTGCATTACTAGTTTTGTATATTTATTTATTTAAGCATTTATACGTTTACCTTTTTATTTGTTTCCCTACTTATTTATCTACTTATTTATTTCTTTTCTTATAATTCTAATTCTATTTTGAAAATATATTTATATTTCTTATATTTCTAATTCTAATTTTTTTCTAATTCTATTCTGACTGGGTGATTTAGGGGATTACGTCTTATGTTGTCGAGAGTACTATCTAGTTAAATGTCTAAATAAAAATTACTATATGCGATCGTCACGTTAAGCAGTATGTGCCGCTATCTTAAATTGTGACCCCATAAAGTGTAACACAATGTAGTGTGGACACTGTAAAAGTGTATTGTCGAAGCGATATTACTTTGCATTACTAGTTTCGCATATTTATTTAAACATTTATATATTTACTTTTTTATTTGTTTCCCTATTTCTTTTTTTTCTATTTATTTACTTATTTATTTATTTTCTCATATTTTCATTTATTTGTTTACTTGTTAATTTGTTTATTTATTTACGGATCATTTTTTGATACAACATATATACACACAATGCATTTTATAGAATTAGTGTACACAACATGTACAAAAAAACAAAATATCACATATTATCTTTTACTATATTATATCAGTGTCACATATACATTGTATTTCCGCACAGCCGGAAATTGCGTAACCCGATCGCTGCACGCACATACATTGTCCTGCGACATTGACGTCGATCGACGTGACGAGCGATCAATCAGGAGGCTAATTTTGCTTTTTGGCTAACTAAGGTTCGGCCCGGTCGATCATCGAACAGCCGCCTGTATGAAACGTTTACAAAACGTCACGAAGGGGCGACCGGGCTCGAGGAAAAAGAATCCCTATCGATCGCCACGTTCGATTGTGTTTCCACCTTCTTCCTCGACGGCTTAATCTATAAATAAGTTTTTCCTCGCCTTGCGCACTTCGCGTCGCAATGTGCGTCGATAGATTCGGAGTGTCGCCCGTCACGCGGGCCTTGAACGCACAGACCGCGTATTCTATAATAATCCTCGACAAAGAGAAAAACCAGGGAGGAGGAAAAGGAAAAGGAGGGACAATCGGTCTCGTAGGGAGTCGCGGAAGCAGACGGCGGTTCGGTGACTAATCGCCGTGGCCGATCGATCGCGAATCTTTTTTTGCCGAAAACAGCCGCTGTCTGACGCATGTCGTGCTCGAGTGATTGTCCGTCGCGGTAATCGATTGGCATGTGCGTTACGGAGACGTTTCACTCGTAATCCGGAGATTGTCCGGCGGCCCGGTGTTTTTTCGCCGAGGAGAAATCGATTCCAAATTCGAAGAGCGCCTGAGCTTCTTCTCGAACAGCGCTACCCGCGAAATTGCTGGTAATACGATTAGAAGATTATTACGTAAGGCTGAATTTTGTGTCTCTGCACGATTCGTATTATTTAAAGTTGAATGCAAATCATGTCAGGGACGGGACGATGGGCTTTCTTTAAGGAAGGAATTACATGCGGAAGACCGTTTTCAAGGCTTTTTTTACGAATTCTGTGAGCAGAAACGGTAAGACGAATGGACTCGAAATTTTCACATTAGTATTCATTAATGCGTTGAAGGTATAAAATAAATTTTATTCAATCACAAGAAGCGATCCAATTTATAATTATGGATAAAAATGCAGTCATCCGTTTGCGAGCTCTATGTTCGCTGTCGACATAATTCCTGGCCTCTCACTAATCTGAAATCAAAAAATGAGAAAGATTTTTAAAATATACGGTTGTTATTATACCAAGATGAAGGCAGTGAAGCCAAATTTGGAAAATAACACGTAACTGTACAAAAAAAAAGTATCACAAATGAAACTTTTTTCAACCTGTAATCATGTTTAAAGAAATGAATAAAATAAAATATAACTGTGTTCGAAGTAGGGGCGAAGAAATTACATGTTTACTGTATACTGTGTAAAAATTTCAAGTTATTCGGTTCAGTAGTTTTTGCGTAATCGTGTCGACAGTTTAAGAAAATGATGTTTCGAGATAAACGTGTTTAAACTTTTATGTAGACTTTCCATATAGATAGTGACAAATTTATTTTATACTTTGAACATTAATGAATTCACTGTGAACATTTCAAGTCCAGCGATCCTACCGTTTCTGTTGAAAGAATTCGTAAAAATAGCCCTGAAAACAGCCTGTTCCGCGTGTAATTCCCCACTGAAATTTTTCAGAGTGACACCGCTTCAAAGCAGCGAACGAGTTCGCTCGATGTAAGTGAACAATCGCATCGCTCCAGATCGAGTGACGCCGCTGTCACTCCGCTCTTCCGGCGGAACGTCACTCTGAGAAATTTAAAGAGCGCAACGGGATTTGTTAATAAGCTCTCGACATGCGTGGAAGCTGGAGGGGTTCGCGTTGTTTTCGCTCGAAGCGAGGCGCACCTCGCGGCGCTTTGCGCTTTATTGCCGGAGCGCGTGCTTTACTGCGGCAGGTGCGCCTGCCTGTGCGTTAATTAAACAAACCACGCAGGACCACGTGGCGACTCGAGTCCGCATGACGTTTAATCGTGTCTGTTTCTTTTTGCTGTTTCAGATTCATATTCGTTGTCACATCTCGGTGAGTCTCCTCTCTCATTGCATACGCAGCGAAGTATATCTCCATTTATTTACTCCTCTCTCTCTCTCTCTCTGTCTCTCTCTCTCTCTCTCTCTCTCTCTCTCTCTCTCTCTCTCTCTCTCTCTCTCTCTCTGTGTCTCTCTCTCTCTCTCTCTCTCTCTCTCTCTCTCTCTCTCTCTCTGTCTCTCTCCCTCGCGATCTCTCTGTCTCTCTCCCTCGCGATCTCTCTAATCCGATTTACGCAAAGAGAGAAATTCGATTCAGCTGAGATCTCGCTTCTCATTCATGTAACTCGTACACCTCTCTCGGCTGGACGTTTTCACCGATTAGCAAGCACCTGCGGTCGTAATCGGTGTCTCGATTCATCATCGAGCATCGAGTCGAGAGATGCATATTCTCGAATATTTGTCATTAGTTCCGTCACTTCCTGCCACGTTTAACCGCGTCGAGTGAGGGAAAGAAAAAAAAAAAGAAGAAGCAACGAATGATCGGTCTTGCGAAACGCCACGCCTACAAAATTGCTGCTCTTATCAGGAATTATATATGCTGTTTATCATCCCGGCGATTACGTGTCGCTCGAAGCACGAAAAATCGAGCCGCGATGCGCGGCGGGAGTCGAACGATCCGAATTCTGCGAGCCGCGTCCGAATCCTTCCGTAATCCGCGAATCTCTTTGACTTACCGCGAGTGCGCCGAGATTAATCGCGGTACTAATTACCGCGGCTTAATCACCGAGGCGCGCGCACAGGGGCTATTCGCGCGATCGCGATAAGAGCCTACGAGTATTATAGAGTTTGTTGTGCAATTTGCCGAAGTGGTAATTTAATCGGGTCCTTTCCCCCGACGAGTTTCCCCTGTCCTCCCGCGAGGCGGAAAACATCGCGGCGATAAGTTAATTGGCCCGCCGATCGTCACTTTATCGCGCCCGGATATTATTTCCTAAATGAGAGAGCCCGAGACGAAAATAAGTCGGGACACTAGGCGGAATCGAGAGTACCCCGTCGGAGTATTCTCGAATCGTTAATGACAGAGAAAGCAGGCCGTAAATCCGATTACTTTCGGATCTCCGCTAGTGGTTCTCAATCGGAAGGACGGAACGGCCGCGATGCGTAGCGTGTCGCGCGTCGCCCCCTTGCCGTGTCCGGTTAATTACCGCATTATTGTTATCACTATTGTATATTACCGATAATTAATTATTATTACCGCATAAGACAAAATTACACTGGACTCATTTCCGAGTGCGGCTAACGTTATCGGCGGCGATTTCCGTTATTCGATTTTTAATTCCACCCAAGTCTCATCGCCGTACATTTTACCGTCGCGTGTAATGATAACAATAACAATGGCTGTATCGCGAACTGATAGCGTTGGTCGCAAAGGTGCATCGACGACGAGCCGAGACGCGCGCTTAAAGGACGCGGCTTAAGCCGGCGATGGTGAGCTCCGTGAGCGACAACTTACGACAACAACAATCGCAATCGTGTAACACACGTGCTCGAAATGACGAGCAATATGGCACTTGGCGAGCGAAAGCTCGGGCCAAGTAGCATGGGACGGGAGGAGGGAATACAGAGAGCCGGAGGAAGCCGTGCGCGCGAGATCGAGAGCGTTTTCGGCGTCGATCGGCGCCTCGATCGGATCTGGGTCGCAGTGGAGGTCAGACGGACAGCAATTCGCGGTCGGAAAGGTCATGGCGCGATCGTTATCGAACGAAAGCGCCGCGAAAATAGACGGCAGGAATGCCCGCTCGACATAATGGGGCTCTTCGCTCTAATTAATTCGCTCGCGTTTCACCGAAATAGCGGGGAATGTTCCCACGGGAAGGTGTTATTATTCCGGCTCGTCTCATCTAAATTTGACAAAGAAACGACAGAGAGAAAGAGAAAGAAATAGAAAGAGAGAGAGAGAGTGAGAGAGAGAGAGAGAGAGAGAGAGAGAGAGAGAGAGAGAGAGAGAGAGAGAGAGAGAGAGAGAGAGAGAGAGAGAGAGAGAAAGTGAGTTCCTTCCAACGATCTCGTTAATTATTTTTGTAATTCTAATTCTAACAAGAAATGATAACAAAGCAATTTTCTTTTCATTGCTCTCCGTTAATCAATGAAATAATTGTGATAATTTTGCTTGCGTGTGACGACAGCCTTATCGGTCACGAACGCAAGAAATATCATATTTTGTTCCCCTCGAGGAAAAATTATCCAATTTTTCACGAGAAATGCGCCCGTAATCCCGCGTGCCGAAGCGCTCGTTTCCGTTAAATATAGATTCTCGGAAGTCGGAAATAGCTGACACTGAATAATAATGATTCGAGATTCGTGGAAGCATGGATAATATGAAATCCCGTTAACGATAACCGTTTGATTTTTGAGCGTCAATGATCGACCCGCGAGAGAAATAGTTTCGTCACGGCTCTTCCTCGCGATCGTAACGTCACGCGAAGCCTTGAGGGGATAAGCACGATTTCCTGTTGAAAAAGTTGCCTTATCGAAAACTAGAGCAACAACGAGAGGAAACGTCCGATCGAACGCTAAATATATCGATCGCCTATCTTATCGCGCGTGCGCGTAGAATCTGTTTCAGTGTTAACTGCCGTTATCTCTCTCTCTCTCTCTCTCTCTCTCTCTCTCTCTCTCTCTGTCCTTTTCTCGCGTTATTATATAATTACGCCGATATATTAACATTAATTAATTCCTTAACGGCACGCGCGTTTTTCGCGGTCGAATGAATATTCATGGTATATTTCTTTTTCAACGGAAATATTAACCGGTGGAGCTGTAAATTAACCAGAAATTTAATTTTTTGCTTTTCGAACGTGTAGGAATACGAAATGCCTGGCTGCCACTTAAAATTTTATTGAAGCGTAAAGTCCACACCGGAGATCATCGACGAGGAACGCGACTTCGGCATACGTTTGACCGCGCGAGACTCGAGATTCGCGGAGAGACCTCTTCTTCCATCGCTTATCGCTCGAAGATTATCGGTTGCCACGAAAGAGACACAGCTTTGACTCGACCGACGAGTCCTTTTTTTCTTTTTCCTTTTTAAGAGACTTTGCGACGAGAGTGGAGGGCCTTGTGGAAATTTTAAATATTAATAATCGATCGATTTAAATATTAATCAGCGATGATGGACGAGTGTTAGTTCATATGCAGTTTCAATCTGATGCAGACGACGATTGCACATAACTCCGACATTTTATGTCGTATGTTAAAAAATTTGTTTACTCGCGCGCGCGTGGCGAGAGTTCAATCACGAGTAAAGTCATGGTCGCGCGTCCTTCGTACGTCCTCGTATTATCGATCGATTTATCGCGGTCGCGGCTTTCGGGAAAGCGCCTGCGTGTAACATTATTACCGTCGCTCGTGCGCAAAATCGTCCAACAACAATAAGCGTTTAGCGATGAGCGATAGCGTGCGCGAGGCGCTGAATTACGGTCGTCGAAATTTACGACACGACCGCGATAAACTCGTACGTGACGCGCGCGCGCGCGCGGTTAAGGCCCGGCTAAAACCCACTCGCAGTTTTCACGTTCGAGCGAAGCGCGCGCTCACGAGAAGGAGAATTTTTGCTCGCTGTCGAGACCCCCAGCCGTCGTTTATCGCGGAGAACAACAGAATAATCAGCTCGCGGGAGCCGGTGAAATTAGTCGTTACGTCGAATGCGATCTCGTCGGCGCCTTGCTACCGCAAGATGGACGTAAAGCACAACCTTCATTTATTTACTATTATTATTAACTATTGGATATTCGATCAATCACGCGTCGTTCATTTAGATTAGTTTACTCACGTTGCAGCGTTAAGGGGAGAATTACATGCGGAAAGCCGTTTTCAAGGCTATTTTTGTGAATTTTTCTAACAGAAACGGTAAGATGAATAGACTTGAAGTTTTCACAGTGTATTCGTTAATGTTGAAAGTATAAAATAAATTTTATTCAATCACAAGAACCGATCCAATTTGTAATTATAGATAAAAATGCAGTCATCCGTTTGCGAGATCTATGTTTATTATCGACATAATTCCGAGCCTCTCACTCCACTCTGAAACCAAAAAAATGAGAAAGATTTTTGAAATATATGGTTGCTATTATAGTCCGTACCAAAATGAAGGCAGTGAAGGTTTGGGAAAGGTTTGGAAGTTTGGAAAAATACTGAGATGACTGTATAAAGAAAAAGTATCGAAAATAAAACTTTTTTCAACTTGCGATCATGCTAAAAAAAGATGAATCAAATAAAATACGAGGCCTATTCAAAAAGTATCGAACCTTTGTTCGGCAAAATTACAGTTATTGATTTGGAGGTCTGAAACACTAATCCCCTTCAAAGTAGGCTCTTTGGTAATGCACACACTTCTCCCAGCGCTTCTGCCATTGTTGGAAACACATCTGGAACGCAGATTTTGGAATGGTGCGAAGCCGGTCCGTCGCATTCCGCACCAGTCCACCCATTCTGCGCATTTGATTCAGGCTTTCCTTGCTAAACGCAACATTCCTCATGTATATCAGGCTCCCTACTCACCCGACATGGCTCCATGTGACTTTTGGCTATTTCCCAGGCTGAAAATGCCACTGAAAGGGACCCGATTTGAGTCATCAAGAGAGGACATCATGCGGAATGCGAATCAATAATTGTAATTTTGCCGAACAAAGGTTCGATACTTTTTGAACAGGCCTCGTATTTTATTTGATTCATCTTTTTTTAGCATAATTGCAAGAGATAGGGGCGAAAAAGCTACATGTCTACTGCAGTAGGTTTTTTCGTAATCGTGTCGACAGTTTAAGAAAATGATGTTTCCAGACAAATACGTTTAAAGTTTTACGTGTACTTTCCACATAGACAGTAACAAATTTATTTTATACTTTGAACATTAATGAATACCTCGTGAAAATTTCAACACATCCACATTGATCTTATCGTTTCTGTTAAAAAAATTCGTAAAAGCAGCCTTTGTAAATTCGTAAAAACGGCCTGCTCCGCATGTAATGCCTCCGTTAACTTGGACGGGCGCTT